GGTGTATTTTTTGACTAATAAATACTGTAGCTGCCTCAGTCAGTTTTTATGCAGTTTTTCACTTCTGTTTGATTTTCATTCAAATTTTCTAAAGTGATGCAACTTTCCTGTGTCTAAACAATTCAAATTGGCATGTGAAAAAAAAGAAAATCTTTTTTTTATGTTTCACATCTGTTCAAAACAATTTTACAAAAGATTATATTACTGTAACGATTGTTTTTCATGTTCAAGTATTGTACCTCAAACAAGAAAACATGGATGTTGGGTGTGGTTAAAAAAAACACTTGGGAATTAGATAGACCTCACAAGGATTTAATAGTGTGTCATGGCTCACGTTATGTGCCATTGTAAAGGCTACGGTCTTTCCTTTTGATCTATTGTGCCAACGTTTTAATCCACAAGCTCTCACCTTGAGACCCGAGGCAACCACAGCGTCTGAAAAAAAAAAACGGCCTGACAGAGCCTGCTGGCAGAGCGTCGCAGGTTTTGACTCRCCTCCGATTCCTGTGTTAAATTCAGCACACTGCCTGTCAATTTATTCAAGCTTGAACTGACAAATGGGGAGTGATTCACCACTCATATTTTCATGGATAGATTTAATGTATGTACATGATATGTCTTGAAGGTTTTTAAAAAAGAGCGAGAACGTCATGCTACTTGTAGCACACTGTTTACAGCTATGAGTTGTGATGTTTTTTGGTACAAATCTGACACATCAGATTAGAAAGAATTGAGTTAAATACTGTACCAATTTATAAGTACATTCTCAATGGCTTTAGCTAAGAAAGATCCAAGGTGTTTTACGTTTGTGGTTGAAATTTGTGGTTACAATGATGCTAATGTGATGCTAACAGACAACCATAAATTTTCCAAAATGCATCCATGCAGCCACTTTACAAATCTCCAGTTGTCACAGGGAAGACCCTGCATGTTGCAAGTCCATCACAGGGCCACATAACGACAATTATTCACATTTTCACCTAGGATTACCAGTTAACCTTGAGTTACCAATTAACCTAGCATATTGGGTCTGTGGGAAGAACCCGGTGGCACAGAGAAAGACTTCATACAGAAAGGCTGGTAGATGAACCTCCAGCCTTTTTGCTGAGGCACTATAACTGCTGCTCTGCATGCCAAACAACATTTCTATAATGAAAACTACATTTTAAAAAAATGATTTTTTTTTAATTAGCGTTTGTGTCCAGGTTAGGATGGTCGAGGAAGTATTCGCGGTTGGACAAACAAGTTCTACAATTTGCAACCAATCGACTTTATTCTTACTTGCCCGACCTGTTTTTGTCAACAAAACAGTGCCGGTCTACCAACTCGTGAACTCCACTTCCCCTCTGATTGATGTGAAATCTGGCACCAAAACACCAGCAGTCTTTTGTGTAGCAATGTGAAGTGTGTAATGCTTTTAGCTGGTCTTTGTTGAGGCAACACACACTGTCCGCACAGTTGTCCTACATAACACAAAGATAATCAGGGGCTATACGATGTTTTTATTTGTCCTTCCTGCGTATGTGATTATAACAAAATCATTATTATTACATTTGAAATAAAACATTCTTGTTCCTGTTTTCATGTGTAAATCTGTTCAGGGACGTTGCTTCCCTCTGGGCTTCTGAAGCAGCATATTATTTCAGCATTCTTCCTGTTTGATTAGGATATGTATGGTTGATTTCTTTTTAGAATAATTTGAGACTTTGGAGATACATAGTGCTTTTAGATCCAGACCAAGAGAGCATTTGGTCTACAGGAGCTTTGGTTTGGTTGCACAGAAGCAAGACTCCATGCACATCAAACAGAACCAGCTGTATGTAATTTGCAGAATTATTTTGCTAACACAACTGTCAGGTTCTGTACTAGCTTGGTTCTCGTCTTATTTGTCCGGTAGGAGTTTTAGTGTCTCAGTTAACCAGTTTTTCTCTGATTCCTCTGATTTGTTGTGTGGAGTGCCCCAGGGTTCTGTATTGGGACCTATTCTATTTTTGTTACGTCCTTCCACACTGGGTAATATTTTTCAGCAGTTTGATGATGTTTCTTATCTTTTTGCAGATGATATCCAGCTGTATTGCTCTTTTAAGTCCACTGAGATCCATAAACTGGACTCTTTAAAGAACTGCCTTGTCAAAATTAAGCACTGGCTTGGCGCAAATTCTTTGCAGTTAAACTCTGATAAGACTGAGGTGCAAGTGATTGCTCCTGACATTGTTGTTCCAAGAATCTGCCAGTATCTGGGTGATCTGAGCTTATCTGCTAAATCAAACCTTAGAAATCTTGATGTGACTTTTGACAGAGGGATGTCACAAGAACACTATTTCAAGCAACTCACTAGAAACTGTTTCTTTCAGCTTAGAAATATTTCCCAACTTAGAAAAGTTGTTTCCAAACATGATTTGGATATGATCACTCATGTGTTTGTGTCCTCACATATAGACTGTTGTAATTGCCATTTTTCCTGTCTAAATAAGTAGGAGCTGTCTTGTTTACAGCTGGTCCAAAACGCAGCAGCAAGGGTGTTGACCCGCACCAACATAAGGGTTCATATTAACCCGATTCTAAAATCACTCCAGTGGCTCCCTGTGGTTTCTCGTTTGAAGTTTAAAATCCTGGTGCTAACGTTTAAAGCTCTCCATGGTCAGGCTCCCTTTTACATTAAAGCTCAGCTGTGTCTGTATTTACTCTCTCGAGGGCTGAGTTCATTAGATCAGAATCTTCAAATGGTCCCCTTCATTCATTTTAAGTCTAGAGGTGATCGCTCCTTTCAGGCCGATGCTCCAAGGCTCTGGAATGATCTTCCACTCTCAATTCATGTATTTGATTCTGTGGTTGCTTTTAAGAGCAAACTTAAAACTTTCCTTTTTTATAAAGCCTCTTAACAATTCCAGTATGTTGTTTTATGATGTTATTGATGTTTTATTGTTTTGTTTTATCTGTATCATTTTGCAACTTTGTAAAGCACTTTGTGTCCCTCTTTGTGTGTGAAACTTACTTACTTACTTACTTACTTACGTACGTACTTACTTACTTACTTACTTACTTACTTACTTACTTACTTACTTACTTACTTACTTACTTA